TACGGAATTACTTTAACGCGTTCATTCATGTTTATGTATCTGATTTGATTTTCACCATAAACTTCTATTGCAAAGAATCTTAAGTGTGCTTTCACATTCCATATTTACTCTTAGAGCAGCTGCAATCAGAAAGTTAAGTAAAGCATCCGAATAACGAAAATAATTTTTGATTAAAAACGAATTGGGGTTTTCCTTTTGTCTTCTTGGGTCAGAAGATGATAAGGAAGTTTGAAAACAACAAACATATTAACAACAACAACAACTACAGCGATTTCACCAGTTAGTGAACTATAATTCCAGTAGCTTAAAGTGTCTATTAGCTATATTAAAATTTTGTGATGAAGTCCAAACTGATAAATCTTCTCCCGCAGTTCCATTTTACTTTTTTATGCATTTTTATATAATACTTTTGGTCACATAAAAAGAATAAAATACATATATTTCTTATATATATATATTGCACCCATATTATACATATATTTATATTTATTATATTTATATATGACTGATATATGGGTGCAAATAAACCCTTATTTTAACTATAGTCATTTTCAAAAACCCATTTTTATATATATTTCCATATCTATATTTTTCTTTAAATTTTGTCATATTGTTGTTAAAAGCCTAATAATGTTTCATTTTATCTATTTGTTTTAAAATCCATGTTTCCTAAACAGTAACTAAATAGAAATGGGCAAGTAGTACAAAAACTAACAACAATAAGTATTGTGTCTTCATTCAATTGTGGGCTTTGTGGTTGTTTCAAGAAAACCACAGCACGTGCATTTATTCGGTAAATAACGAATACAAAATCAAGAAAAGTCCAAGTTTGACTAACACAAGTTAAATACGGCGTTGGTTCCGGTACTTAACACGTGAGACTGCGTATCAAATTTGTTGGGATTTCGGTTGAATCCTTGGTATTTGCGGTTTAAAAATTATTAACGGATAATTAAACTCAGATGGTCTTTATAGACCATTGATGAAAGAGACGTATGGTCAACCAAAAATTCAACATTAATGTGATTTATAATTATTTAATAAATTAAAATTAATTTTTCTTTCTCTATTTAAATAGTTTCTTTTTCCAATAGCATTTTAAAATTATATTTGATATACCTAAATCAGTTGGTTTTTAAATGGTCTTATATGGATCTCTAGTTTCTCCCACTTCTGGCACTTGAATATACATACTTTAATTAATTTAATCACTTTTTAATATTAAAATACTAATTGTGCTTAACTAGAATTATTAATAAAACTTCAAACTTGTTGGTTGTGTGATTTTCTGATTTTCGCTCCATTTTCAATAAAAATGTAAATTTTCAAAATAGCTTTTAACAAATCCGCACTATCAACTCCGGACCAGCGCTGATGACCACAAGCTCGTAAAATTCGCAAGGACACATATGCGTAACACATTTACTATAAAATGCAGTCAGAATAAAAATCAGTCCTTAATTGTACCGCTGACAGTTTTAATTTTTAAACGTGCTCCGAACACTCTGAATATTTTATTAACTCAAAAATTAATTTTTTTACCGCTTATGCGCTCTTTTTATTTAATTTTTGTTGACCTTTGTGACCACCACAAAATTGAAAATGTCAAGAGGTTACTGCGGTAATGGCTTGCCCGTTATTGTTGCTGTTGGAGCTGTTGTTCCTGATGGTGCTCAGACTGACTAGAATACTGGCCACCTACGAAGCAGCGTATACTTGAATATTTACGTATTTATTTTAAAGACGAGTATGAGTTGACTACTGACTGCGAAATTGGAAAAGCATGTGTATTCACATATAAAATGGAGTTTGCAGTGATGCATTCGAGTGTGGGTGTTCAGTGACAGTGTATTTGTTTGTTGTAATTTTAATACCCAATTTTTAAGTGGCTTAATATATGTAAAATATTTTTTTTACATTCAAAAATTTAACACAAAAACGAGTGTTTATCTTTACCAAAGCCGTTCCATATGAAAGTGTATTTAAGTACATGTACAAATGTACTATTTGTATATTTAGTAATATATATACATATAGAAATATACCTACATATGGTGACTGCTGAGTAGAAATTACCGAGCACGCCATGTGTTCTCACGCAAACATTAATACGTTTTGTTTACAATTGTTTGGGGTTTTCTATGTTTTTAAAGCTTTTAGTCTAATTTATGTTGGTTCAATTCGTTTTTATTTCAATTTATTCAAAAATTCATGAAATTTTCAATTTTTGGAGATTCTGGGAAAATATTATGTTATTTAAATTAAATCAGAACAGAACACATATTAAAAGTATTACTCGCAGCTTTAAAAATCAATACAAAAGGCTTTAGCTTTGATGTGGAATTTTTCAATTTATTCGCATTTCATTATTTGACATTAAATGTTTCAATTTATAAATTTATTAATTAAAACAATTCAAATCGTTTATGGTTAGTAACAGAAATTGAAAATATTTTAAAGTAATAATTTAATTGGCAATCTCTTTGCACAACTTTTTGTTTAGTGTGTTTTTTAATACAATGATTTTTTATTTCATAGATCTGATTTGATGACAGTTTCAGTGACATATTTTATATCCAAACATAACTGTCATTCAAGGCATAATATATTTGGTTTAAAAACATTACACAATACGGACCACATAGCAAACGCTAAATTTTTAAGAATGGTGAAAGCTTCCTACAAAATTAGTAACGATTTTTACATCAAATTTTCTTCAATAATGAGGCTAATTTTTACCCTGTTGTACGTCACCTAATATAATTGTGACATCTAACATAGAGAAAATTAACAAGTAACTGTGATAACACCGTTTTATCCACAAAAAGTCAGTAGATGGTATGGAATTTGATCTGGAGGTCTTAAAAGCCCACATGTGTTTATAAATATAATTACAAATCCCATTTACGAATATTAAATGCGATAAGCAAAGATTCACAACACATTCGAAATCAAATATTCTCTATAAGATATAGTTACAGAAGTCAGCGAAAACAAAGCAAGTTGTTGTGATTCAAAAAGTTTAATGATAACAATTATGAAGGCACCAGTTATTGCAACTATAGCACCTAACTGAATTTTGATTTGATCAGGTAGAAGTGGGTGGTTCGTCAAAACTAGGGTTAGGTTCAATTGCGATTATTAAAAGTAATATAAAAATGATGGATTTGCTTCTTAGTGCGAAAAACACATATAAACGACATATGGCACTAAACACTTACCTTCTTGTGAAGTCATTTTGGAAGGTGTCGTATGGTAGTTGGTCGCTGTCGAAGGGTTCCGGGAGCTAGACCCGGCTGTTCGTGGAACCAATAATACCCATAACTTTTGTTGCTTAAGACATATATTTACTATAAGTTTGATTGTATTCGGCGTTGAAGTCATTAAACCAGAGAACTTAATTACTCATATTCAGTAAATATCATATCTTCAAACAAGATTTCTATTCATATTCAGATGGCACTATTCAGATTCATACTAATATTTATCAAACAAAACAGTGTCCTGAGTATACTTAATGGTGCATTAGAAGAAGCACTATATTAAGTTCAAACAGATGCACTAAACATTCGAAACAACACTATTATTTTAGTTGAATGTCACACGCATCTACTGTATTTAATTTACTGTAAACCATATTTTTCAAAAGCCGATCTGCAGTATTAGCACCATTAATTCATAAAACATCGAATTTTCGCCTTTAACTAAATTTCTTTAGTGTATATTGGCACCAGTCGTCGCAAAGCATATTGAATATTTTACCGGCACTTGCAAAACAAATTTAATATTTTTCCGGTCCACAATACGCTTCAGGTTGAGAAACACTGCCATCCACCACGTTTCAGTTTTGTTTATGCTTATGTCACAGTTATATCCCTTACTGTCAAATCCTTTCAATTATCTCACATTATGTTTATTGTGCATTAAATCATCTTAAGTGTATTTATTTTAAAATTAATTTCTCAAAAGATTAAAATCCTTAGCAAATAAAAAACTAAGAGTAAACTTTTAAAGGATAAGAGTGAAAAGAAGTATGTCCAACTTAGATGGTCATCAATTTTCGGTTTAAAAAAAAGCTTAAGAGATAAATTCTATAAGGACAAAAAATCGTATTTGCTAATACTGCTCATTTTATTTATTTTCTGTTTTGTCGTTTTATTTGTTTAGTATTTTTTCGTTCTCATATTAAAATAGGTTGAGTTTCGGTATTATGAAAGGACCTCACTTTCTGTTTTTGTACTCCTACAGTTGGTGCACTAAATCTACCTGCTTCGTGTTTACTGTCACATTGATGTGACATTTATGTGTGTAATCCTGCTGCTATTTTTTGTCACTGTTATTGTTCATGTGTCTTCCTGTTTTCATTTTTTTCAAACCATTATAGAAGTTGTAGGTGCTATATTTTTCATTCTTAAAAAATTCCATTAAAAATTTTTTGGTTTTCACCTTTTTTAGTCCTTTTTCTTTACACATTTTTCCAGCATTTTTACTCGTAGTTCTTAGTCTTTTATATTATTTTTGGAACATTTAAGTGTTTGTGCGGTAAATCCTTTCGTTTGCATGTACGAAACTTGTGAAAGTTCTATTTGCAAGCACTTGTTTGGTGGCACTGGGTCCTCTTTTCAATTTCTGTTTTTCTTTATTAGATTTTATATCTTTTTTGTTTGATTTTTGTGACATTTTTTTGGATTTTCTATAGAAAATTTCGTTACCAAATTTACTGATTTCATAAGAGTTGTACACACTCAATATATTGCTTTTTGTTTGCTGTCAACAAGGTTAGTTTTAGTTACAGCGCTGCTGGGCTTAGCAACAGGATATGAAAATCGTTAGCTTTGCCCTCTCATTTTTTAGAAAGTTTAATAAATAACTAAGTCAGCGTGTGCAATAACGTGTTGCTGTCAGTAAAAAAATACGCTGACATATACACAAATTATATTTCTAGTTTATTTTTTTTTCAAAAAATTTTAAATAATTTATAAATATAAAAAATATACACATACATAGATATAGTGTTTCATAGCAACAATGGGCAATGAAAAATAAAATATTTTCATATATAAAACATATTTACAAACAGCCAACAACTAAAATTAGTTTAACAAACACCATGGACAATGGACTTACAGTCCATAAAGTCTGGACAATAATAAAAAAATATGTAGCTAAGTTTAAAAGAACCGCGATTTCAGAAATATTTTTAAAAACAATTATAAAATGTCAAATACAAAAGTTTTAATAGACATAACGTATATCAAAACATTTTCCACAACTGCTTTTAATAAATTCCATACTTAAAATCTAGCACTGAGGTAGTCTTTTGAATGTCCCATATACGCAAAAGATATTGTAAGAGATTTGAAGCCTCTATAATTTTCCCTGTGGATAGAAACTATTCCATACTTTTAGTTTTTCTAGTTCAGGTAAATCAATAAATTCCATTTTCTCCGAAATATTTAAACATTTCATATTTTCATCTCTAGTCAGTGGCTCGAATATCACATTTTCCAGTGTTTCACCATTCGGATCACCATTTGTTGCAAAACTAGTCCATATGTCGATCATGGAACGTGCTACTTCATATTCTGGTGTATTTTTTACTAATCGGTTACATATCATAGTCCGCCAGATATAACATAAATCATCTCCATGACAAGCACCGCGTGAATCTGGACCGCAAAGTATGTTACGTACGCCATTACCCGACTTCGAATCATAATCGAATCGGTAGACATAAGTAGGTGCAGTACTATGTAATTGTCGCGCTAAAGCAGTACGATAAATGGGATGCCAAAACTCACGATAGGATTCCAACTGTAAATAAAAAAGAAAATAATGCATTAATTTTTTTAAACTGTATTTGTGTAGATATATTGAAGGTAACAGAAAGGATGAGAGGTTAGGTGTTCTAAGAACATTTTATTAAAATAATTTTAATAGATAAGTTCTTAAAGAAATTTTAACACAGACATATAATTATAAATTGAAAAATTAAAATTAATACTGAAGAATTACTGAAGAAGAAGATATTACATGCATTTTTAGACTGATTCGGAAATTCTAAAACTGTTATACAAACTGTTTCACTGAAGAAGAAGCCATTACAGGCTTTTATGGATCTAGCCTAAAATACCAGACAGGAACAGAATCACGCTGAAATTTAGGCGATAAAGCTTACGTTTTAACATTCTTAAATATTAGATTAGTTATTCTGATAGCTAACTGAACTCAATATAGACACTTAATTCTCATCAGAGGATATCAATACTGGAGTAAATGGACTACACTAGCAGATCCTTACGGGCTATATCAACAACGAGATGGAGTGCCTTGAAAAATCGAGTATATTTGACCAAAAAGATTTGATTTGATTGATAGATTTAAAACTATTCTGTAGTGATGTGTACACTTTTCGGAAATTTTTGTCTAGTAGATTGTACTGATGTGGCAGCCCGGCAGACAATGTCTACATTGAAAGAACGGCTAAGTCGGGACGCTTAAACACTAAGGGTAACCAATTTGATGAGATTGGCTTGCGATTGGCATCGATGGTGACACTTTCTGAAGGTGGTTCTAGCACCAATGACGATAATCATGTTGATGTATAGGGCATAATAGTAATCTAATATCCGTTCTGTGATCATTGCTATAAAAAACGGGAATTCAGAATAGAAGTGATTTAGATTACAAGGTTTTCGTAGTGTCGATCGTATACAACACAACCGAAGCAGTATTAAAAGTGCCAGTTCCTATAACTTACAATTTAGAATAATAATTATATATTTATAGAGAAGAAATATTAATAAAGCGCTATTACCTCCAAAAATTCCATTTTGGTGTTTGCGTTGCAATCTGCATCACCAAAATATGCCGATTTTAGTCGTTGTCCAAATTCTTCAGCTTTAGCCTCGTTATTCGTAAAATCTATATCACCAGGTAACACATTTTTGCAGCCGTTAACTTCCGATAAAGTAGCAGGACGGCGTGTTACTTCTGAGATTAAAAAGAAAAATGTACGTTAATATTATAAAAATGTAATGAAAGGGTGAATGTATGAAAGGGTTTTTTGACCCTTAAAGCATTTAAAATAAAATAAAAAAAAAAAAATAATATACTAAAATCAAATATAGCGATATATTTAGTGTAATAGGGATATAGAGAACTAGGCTTCAGTACCTTTTTACAAACTAGGGTAAACAAAGAAAAATAATAATAAAAACTATAATACCAAAAGCAGTCAGTCTGACAATCACTGTAATTTGTTTTAGTTTGTATAAAATCATTATCATGTTTCCACTGCAGCTAAAACTACTTATGTTAAAGAAATTAACTTTTGGGCATTTCCATTGGCATAAGCTGATGCGAGTAAAATAGCTTGCTTTTTTACATTTTACATTTTTACAGTTTAAATTCTTAGTGCATGACTTTTTTCCCCTTGAATTATAAATCAATTGATTTATTTATAATGAGCTCATTTATATGAAAACAGTTTGAATTGTAAATTATCATCATTATAAGCCTTAATAAGCAAAACTGCCTATACGAGATAAGTGGGAATATGGTATTAGCGTACTAAGAGTTTGTAAACCAATATAATAGACAGACATATCTATTTATCAAAAGTTTGCTATAAGGCTTAGATCAAAAAATAAAATATAGTAGCAGTATTTGTACCTAAATAACTATTGTTTGTTTTGCTAATAGATACAACTTACTAAGAAAAACTAGAACTAGAAGACTGAACACTTTCATATTTTAAAAGTATTAATCTTACTTAAAATTTTTAACCTTTATTACTTTTTGAAATCTGTCAACATTTCAGATGTACTCAGCTAACAATCTAACTTTTTAAAGGATTGTCAATATATAAGGATAGTATATCTATATGTATATAGATATTAGGGACATATTTTAAACTCCAAATATTTTTAAAATAATCAGTTTACCTTGATAGAATAATAATCCTTCAAAACTGGTACCACCGATCATTATCGGTATTTGATTACTCCATGTTTTTTTCATTAACTCATAAGGTTTCTCTGCTATAACACATTGACTTGTTATATACGGTTCGACAGTTGGACCAAATGCAAATAAAGTACGATAATGCTTTTCTTCTTTTTTTAACACCAAACCTGCAGCCGAAACCATGTCAGGGCCTTTAGCATTAAGCAAATATTTATATATTTCAACATCCTTTCCTTCATCACCATCATAACCCAATTGTTGCGCTAAACGTAGTGCCCAATTGTTTCGTGGTGGATTTGCCCACGGGCATAAAGCACTACCGGACATTATTATAGCTTTATGTACTAAATTCCTCGATTGTTCGCTTAATAAGCACAAATGTGTAGAAGCACCACCAGCACTTTCACCGAAAAGTGTAACATTATTTGGATCACCACCAAAAGCAGAAATATTTTCTTGAACCCATTTAAGACTGAGTATCTGATCTTTAATACCGGCATTGCCTGGCACATTAACTGCTGGATCATCTATGCTAAGAAAACCGAAAGGACCCAAACGATATGCAATAGTCACTAGAACAACATCTTTAGACATAAAAAAATCTGGACTGTACATGTCACGTGTAGCTTCACCAATTTGAAAACCACCACCATAAATCCAAACCATAACTGGGCGTAATTTTTCGGGCGTAAGCTGTGAATTAAATGGAATTAGTTTTATTCAAACAAGTGTGTATGTTAGAAATACTTACATCTTTTGTAAAAACATTAAGATACAAACAATCTTCCGAGCCTTTATATTTTCTAAAAATCATATTTGACTGTATGGGTTTTTCTGCAGGGCCAGTGCAGTCCAAAACTGTTGTCCATGGTTCCGCTGGTACTGGCGCACGAAAACGTAACTCACCAATCGGAGGCTTAGCATAGGGAATTTTTTCGAAACTGTGATATGCATCACCCCAATCTGACAAACGTTTAACTCCTTTAATAGCACCTTTTTGAGTTTTAACAGTAGTGTATATAGATGTGGTCAACTTTCTCTGTTCATATTTGTATTCCAGGATTCTAAGACAAAAATTTATACTTATTATTAATTTAAAATAATTTTAATAAAATTATTAATTGAATTAATGAATAATTTATAATTTTTTTAATTCAATAAAATATAAACAAAATAAGTAATAATAAAAAATTATAATAAATTATAAAAAATAAAACAAATAATAATAAAAAATAATAATAAAATATAACAAAAAAAAATAAAAAATAAAATAATAGTGAAACCATAACTGAATAATAACTGCAAGACCCCATCCGAATAAAAATTAGATTATTTAACATTACTGTTAAAGCCCCATTTTTCTACACGAAAGCTGATATATAAGCGCCATAACTTGTGTTAGGTTTTGTAACCGTTGTTTTTGTCACATTTTTCGAGCATTCTAGCGTAACATTATTTCTAACACCGAACAAAGCATTCATTGAAAAATCCATCAAAGGTTTGAAAAAATTCTTTAAAGCCCTGCAGAAGATATCACTAAAAAAATATTTGAGTATAATTATCAATGGAGAGCCATATGGAGAGAGCAAATTAAAGTCTATTTTGTGACATATGGAGCGACCGAATTGAAGCCTATCTCCAACTTTATGGAAATCAGTGGAATTGGTATATGACAGAGTTCAAGAGAAGTTCTTTTTTAACGTCCCATATTCCTGGAGAGTAATTAGTAAAATAAGAAATGAGTTTGAATGAGTACGACTAGAATATGTCATATAAAATTAATTAAAAGCATGAAGAGAAAATCTATTATCAAAAGATTACATAAAAATGACAAATAAAAGCCTTTTAGGCTTCATCAAACTTGCAGTTTCTGTGCTTTGTGGAATACTAATGGGGCAGTGTGCCATTGCACCTATGCTCCAACGGTGGCGAGTTCCAACCAGTAGATTATGCAGTAGTTGCCAAGATAAAGAGGAGGTAGAATATATCAACCACTTCCTGTGTCATTGTCCAGGACTTCAGACAAGGCGATTTCAATGTCTTGAGGATCGCTTTTTCACTGGCTTGGAAGAGATAACGAAAGCAAACTCATCGGATCTCTTTAACTTCATCTGGAAAACCAAATGGTTTAACAAGAATTACAAAGGTTAGCAACTCGCCTCTCGCGGCAAAATTTTTTGAGGGCATCAACTGTCAGCATACGCCTTCCGAACCTAACTTAACCTAACACATCAATCATGATAGTCAACGTTATGAACGGACAAAGTACTTATAATAGAAAGGATGAAAAATAAAGAATTATTGGTAAAGTTAACATAGTAAAAGTTTTAGATTAGAGAGGAGATTGTTTTTATTGTGTATATTCGAAAGGGAAGGGGTAATTATATTAAAAATTCTTTTCTTTTTTATACTCTATAGGCTGAATTATAGGTTTCAGCTGCAACGTTTAAGTTAAGACGACCACTCACGATGGAAAAAATAAAGTGATTAGAGAAATTCAAGGTCCAAAAAAAATAATTTTCCATTAAGTCTTTTTACTTTCAATAATACTATAACTATTAAGCTTTTTCAATACTTCTTTTTACTGTTTGTATGCAGTAAGCTTGATTGAGCAGTGCACAATAATCAACAACGCTGGAACGAGTAGAAAGTATGTATGTTTCACTACTTTTAATATGAGCCTTTTTATATATCGTTTGTATTATTAAAACAACCATTGTATTTTATACTACCATGTCTAGGAAAATATATTTTCGTCTAACAAGTTTTATTCTTTGTTAGTCATTCACCCATTTCTTACAGTGGTATTGAAATAAGTATTTTTAAAAAGTGTATGAACATTTGTGATTAGTACCACATTAATAAATATTAAAAAAATGAAGTAATATATTTACTAAAAATATGTTTTATAAGCATATCATATGAGACATGCTCTGGGTTAGGATATCCAACTTTATCACATTCAAGCTTTCACAAATCATCAACTTCCAAAACTCATAATTATAATGCACCCATGCAGACAACATTTTTCATCACAAAAGAATCGGGTCAATGGGTGAAGGTCATTCACGGAACTTAGGGCAACAATTTTTGATACTTATGACAAATGGCAACGGACTTGAACGTGAAATGAATTTTAAATTTGCACACTCACGTTTTTGTATTCATAATAAAATGATTGTAAGAAAACAAATATGAAAAAATTAAACAATAAAAAAAGGCCTAGTATTGTAAACGACTTAGCCGTTTAGTGAGTAAGTAGCTAAGTGAGTTTTTTTTAACAGTTTTTTTATACTGTGCATAAACAATTATATCTATAAATGTAAACAACAGATATTGTTTATATATGAAATCGTGTTCTGACTTATGATTTATGTACAATTTTTGTTGTTTATTTCGTCTTGTTTTTTTTTCGATTAAAAACTGATTAACCGGCATTTGCATGCGTTACCGCGAAAGACACTAAAAGTGAGTAATAAACACAATTCGAGTGCAATTAAATGTGGGAAAGACACAAGAGTGTAAGGTTACACATAAGCCATGTGTGGCGGTGTTTCTGTTGGTATGCAAAGTGTGTGGAATTATATTGAAAGGTTTTGTATTTAATTTAGATTGTTTACTTTGCTTTTGCCCAGTTGTTTGCTTCAAAACGAGTGCCAGTGCCACCTTCAGATACTGCAGTTAAATTTTAATGAAACATTAAATATTTCACTCGCAAAGCTCAGAATTTGCATGTTTCATATTTGCGCAATATCAACAAGGCGATTTTGCGGTCATGCGTTGCAGTATATAAGTAAATAAAAATTAAAATTGTTTTTATTGTTTACTAAAAGTCTCCTTAATTTTAAAATAAACTTTAATCTTTTGACAAAACACGAATTATTTTTGTATGGAAAAATTCAAGTCACGACAATTAAAACAAGATAAGATTTAAACTTTGAATAACTTTGTGTGCCGATAACTTATCTGGCGAAAAGTGGAAACTATTTATAAAATTAAAAATTTTATACATTTTAATTATGCATTTAACAGTACTTAGTATAACATAAAAAATTTAATTAAACGACTAAATAAAATTACGATAAATAATGTATCTATTAAATAAGGTACCTAATTATTTAAAAAACTTATTATAAGTATAATGAAGACAAAATATAAGAGTAAAAAAAATATCCATTTATTTCTGAATATGATTATAATTCATTTTATTACAAAAAATTTGTGCAAAAACTCAATAATCTAAATTTTATTATTTTATTTATATCTTATAATAATGACAAAGCAATTTTTGATATCAAATAACAAATATTTATTATTAATTATTAGTTATTATCAAATAACATTATTAAAATAATTGATTAATAGTGTAGATTAAGGATCAAAAGCTCATTTTGAATATACGCTTTAAATATAATCAGTACTGCAACATATATAAAGGGGGATGCGATATATATAGTCACTCTCTAGTCTCTAGTACTTAAATAAAAAGATTTCAGTGTTTGAAAGAAAAACGTGTTCCCAAAAATAAATATCATGGTATAATAAATGGGACACGGGTATAAGTAAAATGATATAATGACAATTTTGCCATTTTCCAATATCCGGTCGTGTCAAAAATTCAAAAGAAAGATATATTTTTAATAATTAGCAAAAGCTTATAAAAGGGAATAGTCCTATGACTATTACTGCAACTCTTTATAATATAAGGTTTGTGAAGTAGTGGCATTATAGGTAGTAAAGTAGTTGTAGCAGTAAATACCATATACCTCTAGGTGCTAATAAAAAACGTGGTTACAAGATTCGCAATGACGACTGATAGACTGCTAGCTTACTCTTTAAATATACTAATATGCAGAAACTTTTTTTTTCTATGGGTACCCAACGGTGAAAGTCTCATATTTAATTCTATCTTTAAATTTATGTCACACGATCAATATATTTTATTTGTGTTTTTGACAGAGTCGGATTTGCACGTAGGTTCTCATTAAACTTCACAATGTTCCAGATATATTGTATTTACAATAGTTGTCGTTTTCGAATAAATTTATTTTAAAGGCATTTATTAGTCTTCAATCCTTTCTAATTAAAAATAATTCAATAAAGTACAGTTTAACGAATGAGATATTTTAAGGGATATTGTTGCTGCTATGAGTACGATCGTAGTGAACAAACTCCATCCCTGATTTTTTTGTAATTCTGATGTAGTGGGAGTATAAAAAGTGGAAAAAAGCAGTATATCTCTTCTAAATCCCCTGGCAAATTAACGAATTCACTGCTGATGTATAGAACTTATGATTATATTTAGTTAGCATAGGTATTAAGAATTTGTTCTTTCCTTTTTTTTATTTCTTGAATTCTTTCTTGATTGCTTTCTGTCTTGTTTTCTTTCTTTTGTGTTTTCTATATTGTTGTCATCTTTTCTTAATCATTTTCTTTCTTTTATTCTTTTTTTTTGTTTTTTTTCCTTTCTGTTTTCTTCTATTTTGTTTCTTTTCATTTGTTTTTTTTTTCTTTTGTTTTTGTTTCTTTTGTTTTCTTTTCTTTTTCTTGCTTATCAGAATAGTCATAAAGGAATGAGATCTAATCATAGCTGATATTATGTTTTTTGAAAAGTCAGCCCCACATAATCTATATTTGTCTAGATTACGGCTATTTAGGCTATGTATAATGTATAATGCCTATAACAAACAGACTATAATGCAACTAACATGGGGAATTTTCTATTATTAGGAATTGTTCCTTAAAAAGGAGTTGCTCTTAAAGAGTGACATTAACCACTTGAGAAAAGTAATTCTACGTTTGAAAAGTATGTCTACCTCAAATACAGAAAAAAATAGATGTTTCTCGTTTTTATGTTATGGTGAATATTTTTTCATTTTTGATTTAAAAAAATTGAAGTGTTCACTCTCAGATGGTCGATATGCATTTATACACAATAATATATCTCATTGCCAAAAAAAAATTCAACTCAGCATTTTAAAGTAAAAGGACTATCAATTTATTTTTTTTACAATAAAATTGGGATTTTTTACCTTCTAATAATATAGTTAAAAATCTGTTTATA